ATTGTATTGTATTGTATTGTATTGTATTGTATTGTATTGTATTGTATTGTATTGTATTGTATTGTATTGTATTGTATTGTATTGTATTGTATTGTATTGTATTTGTATTTGTATTTGTATTTGTATTGTGTCTCCGCGTGTATTTTTGACACACCAGTGCAGGTTATTAGCGCATGACTATTTACTAGTATTTAGTATACAAGTAGCTATAGCTATATAGCATACAAGAAGTATCTGCGCGCGTGCATTGGCGTACGTAGTACGTGCGTGCACGCATGCGTCCGCATGTCTGCCAGCCTGTGTAACTTCCCTACATGGACACATACCCGCGTGTCCGTTTGTGCGTGTGCGTGCATGCGTGCGTGCGTGCGTGCGTACACCATGCGCGAGCACCACCCGCATCTTTCTCTCAGAGCGCTCATAATCACAGCTCTATATCACGGCAGCAGAGCATCTGTTTATCCAGCAACCACCGACAACCAACAGCGTCGGTCGGCACATGTTTCCATGTTCCAAAGTATGGTCGTGACGTACACTGACGTCACGACCATACTTTGTAACATGGAAACATATACCCACCAACAACGTCAAGCGGTCAAGCTTGTAGCCATTGTGCATCTCTCGAGACAGATCTAGATACATTCACCATCATACGTGTACCGATCGTCCAAACCCAGAACCGAGTGATGAAGCTGAAAAGGGATGAGAAGGAAGACAGGGAGGAGAAGGGAGAAGCAAAAAGGAATCAGGAGCTACATGAAAAACAAAATGTTTTCATAGCGCAAGCCGACAGAAAGAGGGCGACGTGTTCACACAGTACACAATGAGAAGGAGAGCATACACGAAAGAGTGACTAAGCCTGTACCACTACTGTACTCTAGACTACACGCCCCGTACCTAAGGCATACACGCAAAATTTCCTCATTTTAATGCACAGATCTCATTTAGATGTACTTCCAATTAAAACGAAAAGCGAGAACATTTTAATGCCATAGTGATAGAGAGAGAAGGGGGATGAAAGAACGAGAAAGCAAGGGGTGCGTGAGAGAAAGCGGAGGAGATAGTAAGACAGCGAAATCGGAAGAGGGAGAGGGAGATAACCTAAGACAGGAGAGGTGCAATATTATATACTTACAATATTTTTACATTACTAAATTATTACTAATGTAGGGTAATGAGTCACACGCAAGCGTTTCTCTTCAAAGCAAACGGCCAGGAACTGACCTACAATATATGTCGGTGTGCGTATAAAGCGTCTCTCAACAATTCAGGCAGAAGACTATTTTAATGATCCAACTAATGATGATAAAACGAGGAGGGGAATAGCGCGACGGAAGAGAGCGAGAGGAAATGAAAGTGAGCGAGAGGGAGAGAGAGGGAGAGAGAGAGAAAGAAGGAGGGAGAGAGAAAGAGAGAGAGAGAGAGAGAGAGAGAGTGTCGAGAGAGAGAGAGAGAGAGAGAGAGAGAGAGAGAGAAAGAGAGAGAGAGAGAGAGAGAAAGAGAGAGAGAGAGAGAGAGAGAAAGAGAGAGGTCATTGGGCTACTCGTCGGTCTGGCCGCCACATGCGTGTGATTACTGACCTCACCTCCTCTCCGCCTCCTATATATATCACCGCCTCCCTCACACCCCTGCGGGCAAAGCCGTTAGGCTTCTAATGAGAGTTACACACGCCAATAATGTTATGTCTAGCGCCTAGGCTCGTACAATATATATATATATATATATATACATGTATGTATGTACGTATATATGTGTATATATATATACATGTATGTATGTACGTATATATGTATATATATATATATACATGTATGTATGTACATATCTATCTATCTATATATATATATATCTAACGATGGCCACGTGAAATATCAGGGTTCGACGATCGAAAGGCGGCGGTATATGAGAGGCTGGTGGTAAATGTCACGCCCATAAAGCAAGAGGTCTAGAATAGCAAGCAGGAGAGGAGATTGCGGGGAGGGGGGGAGAGGACCATGTGGATAGACGCTGAAAGCCAGGGAGAGGGTTGTGGAGATTGAGGAAACAGGATGAGAGAGGGGGGAGGAGTTGGGGAGAAGAATGGTAGGTGGATATAAGAGGGATGAGGAGGAGGAGGAGGAGGAGGAGGAGGAGGAGGGGAAGGAGGAGGAGGGGAGGAGGAGAGGAGGAGGAGGAGAGAAGAG